TGTCCTGGCCACGCCCCCGGAACCAGACACGGTGCGCTACGCGCCTATTCCTCCTCGCTGCGCCCTGGCCACGCCCCTTCTCTAACCCCCTCCCACTGACTGTCCTGGCCACGCCCCCGGAACCAGACACGGTGCGCTACGCGCCTATTCCTCCTCGGTGTGCTGGCCACGCCCCTTCTCTAACCCCCTCCCACTGACTGTCCTGGCCACGCCCCCGGAACCAGACACGGTGCGCTCCGCGCCTATTCCTCCTCTTTGAGTGCTGGCCACGCCCCTTCCCTAAACCCCTCCCACTCGCTGCTCTGGCCACGCCCCCGGAACCAGACACGGTGCGCTCCGCGCCTATTCCTCCTCTTTGAGTGCTGGCCACGCCCCTTCTCTAAACCCCCTCCCACTGACTGCTCTGGCCACGCCCCCGAACCACACACGGTGCTCTCCGCGCCTACGCCTCCTCTTTGGAGTGCTGACCACGCCCCTTCTCTAAACCCCTCCCACTGACTGTCCTGGCCACGCCCCCGGAACCAGACACGGTGCGCTACGCGCCTATTCCTCCTCGGTGTGCTGGCCACGCCCCTTCTCTAACCCCCTCCCACTGACTGCTCTGGCCACGCCCCCGAACCACACACGGTGCTCTCCGCGCCTATTCCTCCTCTTTGGAGTGCTGGCCACGCCCCTTCTCTAAACCCCTCCCACTGGCTGCTCTGGCCACGCCCCCGAACCACACACGGTGCTCTCCGCGCCTATTCCTCCTCTTTGGCGTGCTGGCCACGCCCCTTCCCTACATCCCTCCCACTCGCTGCTCTGGCCACGCCCCCGGAACCAGACACGGCGCGCCCCGCGCATACGCCTCCTCTTTGGAGTGTTGGCCACGCCCCTTCCCTAAACCCCTCCCACTCGCTGCCCTGGCCACGTCCCCGGAATCAGTCAGGTGCTCTCCGCGTCTATTCCTCCTCAGTATGCTGGCCACGCCCATTCCCTAAACTCCTCCCACTGACTACAATGACTACTTCCCTTTCTAGCCCCCTCCCAGGAGGCACCAACACCCTCTCCCTAAACCTCTCTCACTCACTGACTAAACCTGTGCTTCCCCCAATCCCCCCTTCACTGCACTGACCAGTCTCTTTAAACTCCTCCCACTTACTGCACTGGCCACGCCCTTTCTCTAAGCTCCTCCTACTCATTGCATCCAAACTTGATTTGAAATCATTTATGTTTTTGTCTGTCGAGTGGATCTCCTAATGCAAGGAGACTCAGCTAAAACTAAAGCATCCTGCGGGTTGGCTGAATAGCTGGAGAGAGGTAAGGACGATCCATCCATGGGCAGGGACTCTAGTTCCCCTGAGTCAACGTCACCCTCCCTCCACTCCACTCCTGTGACTTCTTCTATCCTACTGCACCTGTACCTCCCTCATGCAGATGCTCCCCACTTGTGACCTCTCCTGAACTACAGACCACAGGCTCTAAGGACACTATCCCACCCCCCCTGGACCTCAGCTCTCTGGGGGAAAGGCTGGTACCAGCCTAAAGCATGTGCAGTCCTGTGAGGCTTTGCATGCTGTTTCTTTAACTTGTAGCAGGGAGGCAGGCCGGGAGGAGGCTGGGGAAGGTTCTGGACAGGAGCTCTCTGGGACAGACAGAGTGGCTTTAGGGCTAGTACTGTTTCCCTCACTCTAATAAAGTTCCTTGTTCAGTGTTAGAAGAAAGTGACTCTGAGATTCTTTATCATGGTCACGAGTGCAGGCCTTAGCCTTTCCCGCCCTTCCGCCCCCATACAGGGAAACCCAGTCACTCATGCATGCCATGGGATGTTCAGCCCAGGAAGTCTGACTGATGGTTTTGGAGCGGGTGACATGGCTAAAGGGAGCAGCGCCTGCACATAAACAACTGGCCAGTATGTGTAGCTGTGCCAGTTCTGCCAGTGTTCCCAGAGGGTACCCAATGCCACTGCCGCCTTAGCCACAACTGCTCGTCCAGACACAAGCAGGAAGGTATTTTGGAAAGGGACATCAGGGACATGGGCAGCGGCCCAGAGGGAACCACACTGGCCAATCGCACGATGCCCTAGCATCTCTCTCTGGGCTCATAGACAGCAGTCCTTCCAAAGACGCTAACCTGTGCATCTGGTCTGAAAAGCATGTGGGTCCTGGCACCCTGGGGTGCAGGGGCTGTGACTGGGGACTGGGCAGGAAGCTGGACCAGGAGGACAGGGCCATGGCTGGGGACCAGGCTCTGAGGGGACAGGGCTGGGGACCAGACAGGAGGCTGGGTGGGGGGCCAGGGCCTGGCTGGGGACCAGGCTCAGAGGGGACAGGGCCGTGGCTGGGGACCGGGCAGAAGGCTGGGCCGGGGGATCGGGGCTAGGGTTGCCAGACATCCGGTTTTCCACTGGAATACCTGGTCGAAAAGGGGCCCTGGCGGCTCCAGTCTGACTGGACCATTAAAAGTCGGGTCAGGGGTGTAGCAGGGGCCCGGGGCTAACGCAGGCTCCCTGCTTGCCCTGGCTTCGCACGGATCCCGGAAGTGACCGGCAGGTCTCTGAAGCCCCTAGGCGCATGGGCAGCCAGGGAGGCTCCGCACACTGCCCCCGCCCAAGTGCTGGCTCTGCAGCCCCCATTGGCTGGGAACTGTGACCAGTGGGAGCTGCAGGGGCTGCACCTGTGGGCACAAGGGCAGCATGTGGAGCCTCCCTGGCCACTCATGTGCCTAGGGGCCACAGGGACCTGGCGGCTGCTTTCTGGGAGCTGCAGCAAGCGCCACTGGGACCCTGCACCCCAAAACGCCTCCGGCACCCCAATCCCCTGCTCCAGCCCTGAGCCCCTCCCAGAGCCTGCGCCTTCTACCCCAACTCCCAGCCCCCGAGCCCCTCCCACACCCCAAACCCCTCATCCTCGACCCCACCTCAGAGCCCGCACCCCCAGCCAGAACCCACCCCAACCCCCTGCCGCAGCCCCTTGAAAGAGGGGGGAAGGCAGTTGGCCAAGTCAGGGAGTCCCTCGCCCCGCACAAACATGGCCGCCCTAGGAGTTCTGCGGCTGGCCCCGCACAAACATGGCGAGATCAGGGTGGGGGTGTCTCTAGCCGCTCACAGCAATGACGACTCTTGGGTAGACTCTTTGCCCCTCATAAAGATGGCGACTGGTGACAGACCCTGCGAATCTGGCCAATGGGAAGCCGTGTTGCTACGCGTTGTCATGGTAACAGCCAATGACACGTGGAGATGGGGTCTAGTGTCGCTGCCCAAGTTGCTGGGGTGGGGCTGGGGGGCCGGGTGTGGGGGAAGCCGGGCGGTCCGCGGCGCTGGCGGCCGTCGATGGGGACCAGGACCCCCAGTGGGGAACGGCGCCGGTGGTGAAACGCGGAGTCCAGGTGAGGGCCCCACCCCCCGGTATCGCCGGCCCGGGGTGTCTGGGGGAGTAGGGTACAGGGGGGTGGGGGGGAGTAGGGTACAGGAGTGTGGGGTGGGGTGCAGGTGGTGGAGGGGTTGGGGAGAGGAGTACAGGAGTGTGGGGTTGGGGTGGGGGAGTAGGGTACAGGAGTGGGGTTGGGGTGCAGGTGGGGGTGGATGGGAGGGATGGGGGAGTAGGGTACAGGAGGGTGGTGTGAGGTGGTGGAGGGGAGGGTGGGGAATAGCGTACAGGAGTGGGGTTGGGGTGCAGGTGGGGGAGTATGGTACAGGAGTGTGGGGTGGGGGAGTAGGGTACAGGAGTGGGGTTGGGGTGCAGGTGGTGGTGGGGTGGGGGAGTAGGGTACAGGAGTGTGGGGTTGGGTGCAGGTCGTGTTGGGGTGGGGGAGTAGGGTACAGGAGTGGGGGTGGGGTTGGGGTGGAGGGGTGGGGGAGTAGGGTACAGGAGTGGGGTTGGGGTGCAGGTGGTGGAGGCGTGGGGTTCAGGAGTGGGGGCTGCAGGGGGTGATTTGTGTGGGGTCACCTGAGGGACACTTTTCTGGAAGCTCATGGGGGGTGCATACATTCAGCCTCCATGGCTGGCAGATGAGGTCATTCCTAGCAAGGGGCACCTCGGGTCAGTTCACATGGATATCTCCTGCGGCCTGGCTCGGCTCATTGGCTGGGGTGAGGGTAGGGTGCCGATTCAAGGGGGGTGGCTTGCCCTGAGTTGCTGGCTGAGTTCTTGTGGCACTTTCGCCTCTTGCATAGGACAGCTTGGGGTATCTCGAGGCCTGTTGTAGTGGGGGCAGATTGCTGCTGGAAGGACTGTTGCATCCATTACGCCAGGGGTTCTCAACCTTTTTCTTTCTGAGGCCTCCCCAGCATGCTATGCAAATTCCATGGCCCGTCCACCCCACACCTGTGAAGCTAAGGCTTTGGCTTCAGCCCCAGGCGGTGGGGCTTCGGCTTTCTGCCCTGAGTCCCAGCAAGTCTAATGCTGGCCCTGCTCGCGGTCCCCCAGTGGGCCCTGGACTCCTGGTTGAGAACCATTGCATTAGACAAGGACTGGCATGCACACACAGTGTAGATTATGTGCCACATGGCAGGTTTTTTGACCTGCACTCACATCTTGGTGGAATTGTTACTAGAGGTGCACGCCCCTTTCTGTGGGAGGCAGGACAATCCATGGTCCCCAGGCAGCTCCATTTCTCTTTCCTCCATTACTTCCTCTCTCCCAGATTTGTGATTTCTGGTGCCTGGATTCTGTGCATCTCCCTATGAAGCCATCCAAACCAGTGCTTCTCTGTGTCCCATCCCCACCCCTCCCAGGCTGATGTGGGCTCTGGGAGCCCGAGCACTGGCTGTTAATGACCTTGGCAGAGAGCACTCAGTCCATTTACCAGCTTGGCACTGACTAAGGGCCATCTATCTTCTCGACAAGAAGCCCCTGCAGTCTAGCTTTGGTCCTTCTCAACAATACATCCTGCTGGCTGAGGAGCTCTCTGGCTCTCAGCTTCCATGGAGGAAAGCAAGCGAGCATCCTCTCTCTCAGAGGGAGCAGCCCATCCCCGTCCCAGAGCGTGATGCTGGTACGTTCCCTCTTCCCCTTTCTCTTAGCTTGCAGCGTAAGGCCTGCAGCTTGAACCGTTGGCTGGTCCGTAAGAGGGGCAGCGAGTGTACAGGGAAGCATGGCTCGTGGGAGCTGCACACCAGGCTAGTGCTGTGCTGTGGGTGCATCTCTGGCTTCTCTTGGCCATTACAAGCTCATCATGGTTCTCCCAGGAACAGCTTTTTCCAAATGAGCGGCTGAGCCTGGATTTGAATGGAAATGCTGATTAAACTCTCAGCCTCTTTGGGTGTTGGCTCTTGGTTTTGCAAATTGAACTAGAAGGCTGGTGGCACTTATTGTATCCTGGTGATTGGAATTGGGGGTTGGTGAGTAACTACAGGGGAAAATGAGATGGAGTGGAGGCTGTGGAGGCAAGACATTCAAATCCCAACGTGCCTGTGAGTCAAACTGCGGCGCCTGCCCAAGCCGGGGGACCAGGGAAACGGGTTCTGATTTTTCACCACTGCTGCTGCCCTCTGAATAGAGCCGGCAGTTTCCCTTCCTAGGCTTTGGGCACTAGAACAACATCTGGGGAACTGAGAAACCGGGGGAGGACTAAAGCCATCCAAGTGGTTCTCACACTACCAGCATGTTCCTTGGGCTGTATGTGGATTTGTGACACCTCTCCTGGCAACCTGGCAGTGTCCTCTTCCCCCCCCCCCCCTTCACGGAAATGAGCAGAGTGAAGTCCAGGGTAAAGTGCAGCTGGGACTTACAGACTCACTGACCTCTGAGCTGGAAAACTGAGTTCGACCCTCTCTCCATTCGCTGGAGGCCAGCGTGACCCCAGCAAATCTCTGCTCCTCTCTCAGTGATCTCCATGTGGGCATGGTTATGTCCAAGGGCCTGACCCAACGAATCCCCAGGAGGACCTGGTTCTCCCATGTGGCTCCTTTTGAATCTGCATTTCCAATTGCGCTGCTGGGAGGAGCTGGGGTAGGAAGAGGGGACTCTGGTGCTGGAAGCTCCCCCCCCGGCCTGGGAGGCCAGGTCCTCAGTCTCACTGGCTGGTTGAAGTCTGAGTAGAGGGGCTTGGCACGCCGAGCTCTCAGTCCAATGGCCCTTGTGAGGAATGAATTGTTGGGTTATTGGAGACCCACCACCACAATGGTCACTGATTAGCCCCCTTGTCCTCTCACCTCTACTGGGGCCCTGTAGGGCAGAGCAGAGGCACCCTGGGAAGGCAGGGGGCACCACTGCTGCTCATGTGGCACCCTCCAGAACTATCCGGGCACCTCATGCCCCCTCCCCACCTTGGCAGCCTGAGCTCCATGGCAGCAAGATTTCTCCCTCCCTCCGCTGGGAAGCGGGAGTGCTGCCGGCACAGCCCTGGCAGGGGGATTTGATAGTTACTGGTACAGAACCACAACGGGTGTCAGTGCTGGGGAGTCAGTGGGACAGCCTACCTCAGCCGCTGTGATTTCATTGTCCAGGCCAGAGAGTGTCCCCTGCCTGCCCTTCCCCCCCCATCAGAGGACTTCATTAGCTAGGGATGGGAGGTGGCCTGTGATACTCAGCAGTAGCCCTGTGCCTTGAGGGAGCAGCAAGCCGAACCCAGAGCTCCACCGTCCACGAGGACAGAGCAGGGCTCCTCGCCCTTCGAATGAGACGCCTCTCCACTACTTCATGGAGGTGCAGCCCTATTGGGCTTTGACTCTGGGCTGATGAAACAAAAGCCACAGGCAACAGCAACCTGAACTGAGCACACGGACTGGTCACTGCTAGCTGAGGAGCAGGGATCTTCTGTCCTGGGGTGGTCACCGGTCCCCAGCTCTCAAACTCCCGTCTCCCCTGTGGGCATTTCCTGGAGTCCGCTCTGATCCCGGCTCAGGGCACCTCCAGGCCTGAGTTGGGCAAGACGTCAGACTCCTCCTCCAGGGCAGTCTCTGCAAGATTCTCCAAGCAGCAGTCTAGGACACAGCCTCAGCCTTATTGAGCGAGGATCAGGAACACCCAGGAGGTGGCTGGGTCCTGCTCCCTGAGCCACCTGGCGAGTAGCAAATCCCTCAGCCTCCCACAACCCATCTCCACACTGGGGAACCACAAAGGGTTAACTGATGTGACAGCCCCTGGTGTGGACATGTCAGGCCATCTGGCCAAGGTTAGCCTTGTGACCATGTGAAGCGCAGAGTTGAACTGGTGAACGCAATCTCTAATGCAAGGACTGACAGGGCCTTCCAGCCTTCCTCTCCCAGTGCATGATCCCGGGCCTTGAGGAACTGGCTGATATCCCAGTGGCCATGGAGTTCCTAGTCAAATCCAGCCTTTCACAGAAGGTGTTTGCCTGGCTCTCCCCAGGCCTGTATTCAGCACCTGATTCACCTGGCCTTTGTTATACCCTGGCGGTGTGCAAACATCCTGCCTCTCCGCGCTGGAGGTGACTCTCCACTGGGGCGGGAGGACCATAGAACTGGTCAGCTGGCAGCTTGGCTGGCTGGGCTCCAATGGTTGGTTCTACATTGCTACTGACAGGATCTGTTAATACAGACGTCAGTTTTTCCCTCAAAACCCAGCTGTGTCCCTGTGCCGGTGCCATTTATGCATCCGAAGAAGTGGGCTGTAGCCCACGAAAGCTTATGCTCTAATAAATGTGTTAGTCTCTAAGGTGCCACAAGTACTCCTGTTCTTTTTGCGGATACAGACTAACACAGCTGCAACCCTGAAACCTGTCATTTAGGGGAGGGTTATGGGGCAGTTCTATGGACCACCACTAGGTGGGGCACAGTTTCCTCTTCTTTACCTTGGGACTTTGCAGGTCCAGAACCTGACATCTGGGGAAGAAAGAAGCAAACCAGGCAGGTCTCCAGTTCATGTATTTTATTTACTAAATTCAGCAAAAAGCATGGACAAGTCACATTGAGAAAGTGGGTTAGTAGCAAGCGACGATCCGGGTTATTTAATCCAACAATTCCCTCTAAGCTCGGTGTGATACTGTGGGAAGGCAGCCGTCCTGCATAGCCGTCCGCCCCAAGGGAGCAGCATTATGAATCTCGGTGCCAGTCGATAGCTTTATTCCTGTTGAATAGTGATTCAGGGAGGGCCAAAATCACCCCCCAGCCAAATCCGCGCACGGTTCCGTGTAACAAGCCGTGTTGGTTGGAGTTCTATTGGGACGTTTCGTTTACAATTCAAGTGACAAATGTAGGTGAAAACCACGTGATTTCTCAGGATTAAACATACAGCTCCTAACCCAGGAGATATGCATACGATCTCCTGGACAAGGAGGCTGTTTCCCCTAGGGCAGTCAGGAGTTTGAGAGCTGTTGTACAGGTGCCACTCTCACCTAACTTCTCTGGGGCCCAGCCCCACTGCACGCTGGTGTGCTCGCTACCAGCCATGTGCTGGAGCTTAAACCCTATGTGCACGAAGGGGGGGTAGCAGCAGCCCTCTGCTGGTAAGTTGGAAGAGAAGAGCAAACCCCGAAGGATGGTGGTTGTGACTCTCGGTTGGTTCAGCCGCCGGAAGCTGGGCTGGGGTAATACCCAGTGCTTTTATCACTGACTCGGAAGGTCTTGCTGGCTCCTAGAGGTTACTTGCTGGCAGGTGTCAAAGCTTAGCGGCTGTCTGTGGCTAGACTCCTACCCTTCCCTGGCCAGCGGGGAGGGTGGGGGAAACACAATCCTCTCTCCAGGCATGATGGCATCAGGTGGCCAGAGACTGCTGGACAGGAGCGGCAAGGCCAGGCAAGCAAAGCTTGGCCTGGCTGTCTTCTCCCCTTTGGAAGCCCCTCAGTAAATCCTCACCCGAGATCACAGGATCACCAAAAGGGCTTGATTAGGTCCCCCTTATGCAAATGAGAGCCTACCCACTGCAGACATTGCAGGCCCCAAATCCAAGAGTCTGTCCAGGCAGTCAGCAGGTCCCCAGGTATTTTGAGGTTCTGGAAACATGGATCAGGCGACCGGCCTACGACAGTCAACTCCTGAGTCATTTAAACTGTAAAGCTAGCAGAGAGCTGACCCTGAAATGCTGGGCAGTCCCGGCTCCCACGCTCGCTCAGCCGTGCACAGAGAGCGACGTGCCGTACACCTCCCCCCATCCCTTAGTACTCAGCAGCTCAGCTTTGAGCAGAGTTGTTTGCTCTGCGGAATCCAGCGACGGGTTAGTCTCTAACTCGGAGCAGGAAGTCCTGTCCTCCTCAGCTCCCAATCCGGAGCTGCCATCTTTACCTGCAGGGAGCTCCTTAGCCTGCCTGCCTGAGCAGGTGCCTTGTCTGCTCAGGGCATGGAGGTCGGTATGGTTCCAGGGCTCGTTCCTCCCCCCGTCTAGGCAGCTGCCAGGCCGTCTGTGGGGCTGCAGCGTGGTCCTGGAGGATTCAATGTCAGGTCAGCTGGAGGGGCTGCTGGCCCAAGAGGGCTCAGCCCCCAGCCAGCTCCTGACTAGCAGTGTGCATAGAAGGCATCCCCTGGCAGGTCAGGCCTAGACAGGCCTCAGAGAGGCACTGGGAGTGGGAGGCGATCCAAAGGGAATGGGGAAGTGCCGGCCGGTGCTAGGCAGAGCCTTGAGGGAGAGGCCAAGGAGCTTGCACTGGGCGTGGAACGCGGGCATGCTTTGGGCAGAGGGAGAGCTTCCCGCAGCATGCTGCCTGGCCCGCAGCAGGGCACTGGGGGCAGGGTGAGGCCTCAGAACAATGGCAAACCACGTGGCGTGGGCCCTGCACATCCAGCAGGCTCCCAGCCCTGGGTGTCTTACCCCCAGTGCCTGCTGGGTGTTCTCACCTGCCCCTTCCTTGCAGGTGTCGTCTCGCCCGCCCCGGAGCTGGCACCATGACCTTGACCAAGGGCTCCTTCACCTACTCAAGCGGGGAGGAGTACTGCGGGGAGTGGAAGGAAGGTGAGCAGGGTGCAGCGCCATGGACCGGCTGTGCCTCCCAGCTGGCCCATTCCATTACCCTCCCCTGGCTCCACCCAGATGGGCTGCAAACAGCCCCTGGCATCCGTGCTGGGCACCGCCTGCTAGCCTCTTCTGCGGGCAGGGCGGGGAGAGGCACCTGCTCCAATCCGTCCCACAGGTTGTATGGTGCCCTCCTTCCCAGGGCAGGGCCCGGCTGGCTGGGAGAGGGGAGCCTGCCCCTCCCTACGTGACAAGGCTCCCGGTGCCAGGCCCTTAAAGAATCAGGAACCCAGGTTCTCCCCAGACAGCATCTGCCCCTGCCCTCCCTGGGCCTTCCCCCGCTCCCCAACTCCTGGGACAGGGCAGCCTGATCTCCTGCCTTCCCCCTTGGCCTCAGCCCATTACACTGGGGAAGAGGACCCCTGGCTGCCAGGGAGCCCTGTCCCTGGCGGTGTGGGGGCTGCCCTCTCTGGGGAGCCGGGTCTGTGTAGACAGCACCTCTCACCCGGCTGCTGAGCAGCACTGCCACACACTGCCCCCGGGGTCCCCGCCCCTCTGGCTGAGAGCAGGCCGTGACCTCACCCGGCTGCTGAGCAGCACTGCCACACACTGCCCCGGGGTCCCCGCCCCTCTGGCTGAGAGCAGGCCGTGACCTCTCCCCCCACCGGCTCGGGCCTGGGGCAGCCCACGCAGCCCTGCCCTGGCACAGGGAAAGCTGGCAGCAACCCTGGAGCGACCTGCGTTTGGGGACGTCTGCCCCGGCACCCGGCAGCTTCCTGCCAGCGTGGACCATGAATGTGCCCTGTCGGGACTCCCCTGTGCTCCCCTCCTCCTCTCCCTTGACCCTCCTGTGTCCGGGTGGGTGGCAGATGCCTTCCCCACGCGTGGATTGGCCTGGGGGGTGGGAGAGGCTGCTAAGTCCAAACCCTCCTGCCCCATTGGCCTGTGGAGCTGACGGCGCAGAGCCCAGCCGTGAGGACAAGCTGCCTTCCCCTGGATCTCTCGGGCTCTCCCCTGCGTGTCCCTGGGCACCGGCAGCCAGCAGAGCGGCTGTGAGTGCCGGGGTTCCTGGCTCGGTGTGGGGCACGGGCCCCACTGAGCCCCAGCAACCTGAGCTCCCCAGCTGGGCCAGCTCTGGGAGTCAGCTTAGCTCTGGGTTTTCCCATCTGCGACCCCCAGCAGTGCCCTGCCCAACCCTGCACTTGTCCCTCGGCTGGGCACTGGGGCCCCTTCCCCAGGCTGTGGGCGCTGGTGACGCTGCCCGCTCTTGTTGCCTAGGCCGCAGGCACGGCGTTGGCCAGCTAACGTTTGCGGATGGCAGCACCTACCTGGGTCACTTTGAGAACGGGCTGTTCCATGGCTGCGGAGTGCTCACCTTCTCCGATGGCTCCAGGTGGGTACGGCGCCTTGCTGGGGCTACCCTGGGGAGCTGGGGCAACTGGCCTTTCTCGTCCGTGGGGACTGGGGATGGCTGAGGGGTGCTGGTGCTGAGTCGTGTGTCTGTGCCCTCCCACCCCACGGAGACCCTCTCCTCTCTGCTCTTGTTTACCCCACACCTGGCGCTGTGGGGCGTGGGTGGGGAGTCTCACGTGGCGGGGTGCCTGTGGGGAGCCTGACGCTGCGGGAAGGGCAGGGAGCCTGACGCTGTGGGGTGCGGGCGGGCGGGCAGGGAGCTTGAGGCTGCAGGGCGCGGGCGGGCGGGTGGGGTGCCTGATGCTGT